CAGATTAGCAGTTCCCCTGAAAGGGTTTGGGGGTTAGGGACAGGAGAGGAGTTGATTCCAAGGGCAACAGGAGGGCATTTTTTTTTGAGGGGGTGATAGAACCACTCTATATCTTGATTATGCAGATGTTCATATGATTTGTTTTATGTATTTGTTAAGATTTGTGGGAATTTCCACCAAAAAGAGTAAATTTCACTGTAATAAAATTTAAAATAAATTTAAAAACAAGAGTGAGATTTGAAGTGGTCTGATCATCAGCAGTTAGAATTCGCCTATGACTGTCGTCGAAAAATCACTGGGCTGCACTGTGCAGTGGAGTCTCAGAGGACACACTGAGAATCTGTGTGTGCAGCTGGATTAAACCATGCTGACCAGTCCTTGCCCACACTTGGATCTTGCTCACAGTCTGTCCCTGATGCAGGCGGCTTGGCTCCAGGTAGAAGTGTGCAGCACCCAAAGGACGATACTGCTTGTGCTGCCTGTGGCTGCTGTTCTCAGACTCAGGTCAGGAGGTTGGGATAGAGAATCTACTATGAAACAGGACCAAGCAGAGGGTACCTTCCATCTTACTTCTTCAGCTTGCTCTTGGATTATGGGGTGTTTTCATCAGCTTTCTCACCGCCATGACTAAAAGACCCACCAGAACAATTGTAGAGAAGGAAAAGTTTATTTGAGGGCTCACAGTTTCAGAGGTCTTAGTCCATAGAAGGCCGGCTCCATTTCTTGGGGCTCAAGGTGAGGCAGAACATCATGGTGGAAGAGTGTGACAGAGGGAAGCAGCTCACATGGTGATCAGAGAGCAGAGAAAGACTCCACTCTCCAGATACAGAATATCCACTCTCAGCCATCCCCCTAATGAACAGCTTCCTCCGGCCATACCCACCTGCCTCCAGCCACCACCCAATTAATCCCATCAGGGATCAATTCATTGATTAGGTTGAGACTCTGACAACCCAATCCTTTATCCTCTGACCCTCCTTGCATTGTCTCACACATGAGCTTTTGGGGGGCACCTCACCACATCCAAACCATAACATGGGGTTGGCTGCTCATTCTCTGTGTGCTTAGAGGGCTTCTCTTCTCCTTGCTGTATGCATTGGGAGGCAGGACAACAACTGCTTGGGCTTTCGTGTCAATGAGGCCTTGCTTTGAATCCTGGCACCAGAGCTGGGATCGTGGTCAAATCATTTAACCACGTTCAGCCTCCTCCATTTCTTCTTTTCTAAGATGGGGACAATAGTCCCAAACACACACACACACACACAACCCATGACGTGGCCAAAGGATTAAATGATATAAATCACGTGTAGCCCCACACCTGACGTGGTGAGCATGTGATAAATGGCAGCTGTGATTATAGTCATCTTGATTCTATCCCTAATCACATTGTCATAGGACTACCTGTTGACACACTCCTCTCCCACTCTGTATCAGGAACTCGATGAGGGTTGGAGCCATGTCTTGTGGATTTTCATGTCTCCAGTGACTCACCAGCCTAGGGATTGGGTATAGACGATGCTCATCAAGTGACAGGGGGTGCATTAGGGATAGATGCTGGGATGCGATGCTGAGACTGTGTCCTGCCATTGTCCTCACCACCATCAGAAAGCACCCAGGAAGGGCCCTTACCCGATTGGAGTCCACAGGGAGAGAGACATTTCTGGCCTTTCTTTCTCTGCTCCTCCTGGTCAGGTAAGGAACCGAATGGCTGTTTGCTCCCAGCATGTACAAGTGGCCCAGAATCCTCAGTACCTCCTCTCTCTCTGCTTTAAGCACCAGCTACCTTTTTCTATTTAGTCCAGACCCACCTGTATGCACTCACACAGGGACCCGGGCACAGGCACAGGACTGGGATAGGAGTCGTGTGGGTGTGTCTTCAGTCACAGCCACCGTGCGGCCCCCAGCCTCTCTGGGGGAGCTTACCTCTGGTGCACTAACAGTTATAGGGTTCGACAGCTGTTCAGAGACTTGCTTTCAGTGACTGGATGAAAATATGGTGGACTGTCTTATAACTGGATGAGTAATAGCCCAAGGAGTGCGGATGGCAGTCTTGCAGGAATTGGGATGACATGCTTGGGGCTCTGTCCTTGGTCCTGCTTGGTTTACATTGACACCAGGGGGAATGAGGATGTGGATATTGAGGACCTCATGGCTATTAGGATGGTGGTTGGGAGACAGATTGTGTCTCAAAAGATTGGTCTTCTGGACTGAACTGAGTAGGGAGGGGTGAGTCTGGATACAGATCAGTTCCTTTTCTTAGGCTCCTGAATCCTGAATCCTACAAAACAAGGGAAACTGAGTTTAACTCATGCACATGAAAAAAGACTCAGAGTTTTTAGGCATTGTAAATTTAGTATAAAGCTAGGGATGGGATATAAACACACACACACACACACACACACACACACACAGCTAATATGGTGAGGCTGCATTAACAGAGACCTAGGTTTCAAAGCAGAGGAGGTGAGTGATGCTGTTACTCTTCTGTGCCAGCCAACCTCACCTTGGATATGGTTCTGATAGTCACATTTTAGTAGGGACATTTGAAAACTGTCATGTCAGTGGAAGGCAATTTAGCACTAATTTGTGTAAATAACGGTTAGAGAGATTTATCTTGGGAAAGAAAATTGTGCTTGGACCACAGTTAGCTGACAATACTTGAAGGGGTTCTATGTGAAAGAGCATTTGACCCATTCTGTGTGCCTCTGTCCAATGGCGTTTTCTGCAGGGACTGAAATGTCTTATACCTGTGACACTGAATAGCTATTATGCCTAAAACATGATGACAAACTGAATTTTTAATTTAATTTTAATCAGTAAAAATGTGGCTTGTGGCTACTGTATTAGACTGGGCAAAAACTTTAGAGGGCAAATGAAAGAATAGACCAGGGGCCGGCAAGTGTTTTCCTATAAAAAGCAAGACAGGCCATAGAGCCTGAACTCTGTCACTGCAGAGCAAAAGCAATAGAGATTAAAGAATAAATGTGGCTGAGTTCCAATCAAACTTTCTACGGACTCTGAGGTTTGAATTTAATGTAATTTTCACATCACAAAATCTTCTTTTGATTTCTTTTTTCGACTCTTAAAAATGTGAAACCATTCTTAGCTCAGATTCATACAGAAGCAGGTTGTGAGCTGGGTTTGGCCTGCAGACTGTAATTGGCTGACCCCTGCCTCTGACTGTGGTTGGAAGTGTTAGGGGGTCCTATGTCCAGTTGAGGGAGCAAGACATGAAATGAGCATCCTCAGGAAGAGGTGAGTTTCTTGTTACCAAAGAGCCGAAGTCTAGGATGGGCAATTAACTACCTGACAAGGGATGCTATAGAAATGGGTCTTGAATACAATTCGCACTGGCATTTTCCTCTTTCTGTGGACACATTGAAATCAGGATGACCTATGACTGCTTTAAAATTATACTTGCTTTGAAGAGGGAAATTGCTTTCCGTTACTTGCTACTCTCAGCCTCATGTGGCTGGGTTGGTGATACTCGGGGGTGTCCAGCCGGCTTCCTGGCTTCAGCAGCTCTGCCATGTGTTCAGAAATCCCCCCAGGATGTGCCTTAGTTGGTTTTGCCCATTTATGTTCAGTAGGTATGTTAGTCAGCTTGCTTTTTTTTCCCCCCATACCAAGGATTGAACCCAGGGGCGCTTCACCACTGAGCTACCTCCCCATCTCTTTTAATATTTTATTTAGAGACAGGGCCTTGCTAAGTTGCTGAGGCTGGCTTTAAACCTGCAATCCTCCTGTCTCAGACTCCCGAGCTGCTGGGATTTCAGGCATGTGCCACCGAGCCTGGCTTGTTAGTTAGCTTTCTGTCATTGTGACAAAATATCTGAGATAAACAACTTTTAAGGAGGAAAGTTTTATTTGAGCTTCTGATTTCAGGAGTTTCAGTTCATGTTGGTTGGTCTATTGCTTGGGGGCCTGTAGCAACACAGTATATCATGGTAGCAGCATGTGGTGGAGGAGGCTTGTTTATTTCATGGTGGCCAGGAAGAAAGAAAGCAAAAGACAAACAAAAACAAAACCCAGACCAGAAGGGTCTGGGGTCTAATATTCCCTTCAAGGATCTGACTTCTCCCAGGAGGTCCTACCACCTCCCAATAGCACCACAAGCTGGAGACCAAGCCTTTATGGTGTAGGCCTTCGGGGGACACTTCAGATCCAAACGATAGCAATGGAGAGACTTTGCTGAGCATAGTTAAGTCCTCCACTCTCTGAGAGGACACTGCCCTGGCCAAGTACCACTTTTTTTTCTGTCATTTGTGCTGCAGACAAGGAGGGTGGGGTGAGGATGTGGGTTTGAGAGCCTAGTACCTGGATGGGTCATGCCTTATTCTATGACTGGAGAAGCTTCCCTCCATCATTTCCCCTCCAGACACATGGAGAAACCATTGCTCTCTCAGGGGAGTTCTGAGGTTTCTGTTCAGAATGAACTTCAGGGTCAAAGTCTGAAGGACTAAGCTGTGAAGCGTGGACTACCCAGGAGCTGACTGTCCCTCTGTGAACGGTTATCTGGAGACACGGTTCTTTTTCTTCTTATCATCTCTGCTCCGTTGTGCCCCCTCTTTCCCTTTTACTTCTAATTAGCATCTCTGGCCAAATACACAAAAATAAAAAATAAAATAACATAAACATCCCTTCCTGGGAAGAGCTGAAAGTATTTGTTTGAAGTCTTGAATTTTTGTGCCTTTATTAAAATCCTAAGGTGACCCCACCAGGGTAGAGTTGCTCTACATCTTTGCAAAGAACAGGAAACCAAAAAAAAAAAAAGTTTATTTGGGAATATTTTAAACATATACAGTAGATGAAAGAAGATAATCACCCTCACGTGCACATTCCCAGCTTCAACAGTGACCAACTCCTGGCCAGTCTTGAGTTGGTTGCCTGGGCCCACTTCCTGCCTTCGGTGTTATGTGGAAACACAACTCCAGGAAGCTTTTGGGGTGGTGCATCGACTTCCCTGTGTGCTAACATCTTGGTTCTCTGTTCTGTTCCAGATCATTGCCTTTGATGAGTTAAGGACGGACTTTAAAAGCCCCATCGATCAGTGCAACCCTGTTCATGCGGTAAGTTGCAGGTTCTGCTGACCAGAAGGTGGTGTCACCATAGGCCACCCAGGACTTGTGCAGGAGGCTGAGGGTTTTGATGGCAGAATAAGTAAAGAACCCACTTGCTCTGACTCTGCCTCTGTGCCTGGCTTCAGGCTGTTGAGGAGCCTTCTTGCTCTTGAGGTTGCTGAGATATCATGTTAACTGAGTGTGACTGTCCCCATAACTCAGGGGGAGGGTCTGCTGTGTTGTGGCTGCTGGCGTTAGTCTTTTTTGGTTCCTCATCTTTGACCCAAGAAAGAGGCTCCATGTCGGCTAGCATGTCTGCAGTTTATGTGACGCCATGAATGAGTGTCCCCTGATGGAGGTGGGTGCCAGTTTCTTATGGAGGGTGGGCTAATACATGGAGCTCCTAGCCCCACCCCCATCACCAGGAGGGAATTCACGTCAGGTGATTCTGTGGCCTGAGGTCAGCTCACCTCCCACTGGGGAATCAGACGCAGTCTGGTTTCGTTCAGGGCTGGGAAGACACCCTGCCAAAGCACAGAGAGCTTCCAGAGTCTTCCTGCTTGATTTGCTTGCCAGGCCCTGCATGCCTCCCCTCCCTGTGCCCTGGCTGCGCCTTCAATTGGGAGCATCTGCATGAATATGGAAAAAGAGGCCTGGGGCAGGGAGAAGGGGAGATGTCATTTCTGTCAGGTGGCCATGGGTCTTGGCTGTTTGCTTCTCTGGTCAGTGAAGCCCATGTCCCAGAGGCCAAGGATCAAGAGCATGTGGCCAGAACCTTTTCCAAATGTATTCCAGACCAGCACTGCTGCCTTCAAAGAAGGGAGCATGCACTGTATCTCTTAATCCAGATTCACTGGCTCTGTGTTTGAAGATCCTTCCAGCCATGGTTTCTAGTGTGAGGATGAGTTTTCGTGTGTCTGAGTAGCTCTGCTGAGTTTTCAGTCAGAAACTGTAGAGAGAACCAGGGTCTCTACCAGTGTGATTCCATTTTAACCTGGGAAGGTTATGGTGTCATTCTTTAGTAACAGGGACAAAAAAGTCTCTTCTCAGCTTTAGGACTCCTAAAGAAGGTTTTGCTCTTGAGAAGGTCCCAAATGACATGTGGTGGGACCCAGCTTCAGATCTCCCTCTGTCAAGTTAAGGGTCACTTCTGGAATTGTAATTTTGCTTTGAGTCTTTGCTGTGCCAGGAGCTTTATATACATCACTGTAATCCTGGCAGCAGCTCTGCCAGACGGATCCCATTTCCCCAATCTCTAGTTCATAAGGCTGAGTTTCTTATCCAAGGACTCAGCTCATGGGTGGAGGAGCCAGGTCTTGACCCTAGGTGTTCTGACCACTACTCCATGCTGTCCCTTTAAGAAGCTTGGTTTTGTCGTCTCTGAGGCCTCCTTTGGCACCACAGTCTTTGATTCTACGAAATAGAGCCAAACCCTTTCGAAGTCGACTGTGTAAAGTAAACATGACAGTATCTTTAAGATTCACTTGAAAATTTAGTGTCTTTCGTAAAAGTCATAATCATTAAAATCCATTTTGTTTTTAATCTGCTGGCCTTACCCTCCATCCTCCCATGAGAACTTGGGTCGGTCGGGCCTGGAACTGTTTCACCCGGGGTCTCATGTCTTTTTTGGATGTTGTGGGTTTGGCACCAACATCACACACCTGGCTTGTCAATATCTACCAGGTGCACAGAGCAGCTCTAATTTAATAGAGAGGGCACCTCCATGTCGGGATGCCAGGGGAGTGGAGAGTTTGCTTTCCTACCTCTCATTTGGACTCAAAAAGGAGTTTATGGGGGCTTGGGATCAGTGGTAGACGCTTGCTTAGCGTCTGTGAAGCCCCGGGTTTTATCCCTAACACACACACACACACACACAGAGCAAGCAGCTTACTTACAGCTTTATTTATGAATGAGTCAATGCTTACTTCAAGAAGAAACCTGACCTTTCCACTCTTCCATCATGGAGATTGCATGCTGGGTTTCAGGTGGTTGGTGAAACCTTGAGGTGTTTCTGCAGAGCCCTTGTCCAGTCCACCATGGCAAGTTCCATAGTTTAGACAGAAGAAAGAAAATCAGGACTGGTCTAAGCTCCAGGGGCTTCCATGAAAGGCCAATGTGAGAATAGAACTTGCACACAGTAGGCTTCAGTAACTATTTGTTGATAAAAAGGGATGAATATTGAAAGATGAAGTTGTGTGGCATAATAGCTGGATCTCAGCTCATTATTTATTTGATCTGCTTTTTCTTTTTTTTTTTTTTTTGTGTGTGGTTCTAGGAATAGCACTGAGCCTGTTGCATGCTAGGCAAATGCTCTGCCGCTGCGTTCCACCCCCGACCCTATTTTTTAATTTGAAAATTAGTTAATTAATTTTAATTTTTAAATTCCTAGTATAGCTATACTTCAAGTTGGTTAACAAATTAATTAAGGCGCCAGGGCTTTTCAAAGCCCAAGCATCTCACAGGGGAAGATACTCTTATCTAGGATTAAAAACAACAAAATAACATAAAAACCCTAAATGGAAAAGCATTAGACATGTTTCCCAGTTCTTGCAATGTTACTCCCTGGCAGGAAATGAAATGCTTGGTAGATCTCATTGAACTCATCGCACACTAAAGAACCCTCATAGAAGCCTTTCTGTCTCAGAGTTTGAAAAAGCACTTCACTGGTTGGTGACTCCAGCCCTGGAAGGACTTGAGTGGCAAATACTTTCTGATCTCTATGATGATCTCATTTCTCAATGAGGACAAGCAGCCCATTTGATGTTTACTCCTCCTCCTTCTCTTTCTTTTTCTTTTTTGCAGTCCTGGGGCTGGAACCCAGCGCCTTGCTCATGCTGAGCAAGCACACTACTACTGAGCCACACCCCCAACTCCCATTTGGATTTTAGATGCCCAAAAGATCCATATATTGTTGGGCTTCTGTTGGACCTGCCCCCTCTTAGAGGGGGTGGAACAGAAGAGGTGTGTTCTGTTTGGCTCCTTGTTTTTCAAGGTTTCCTTTCCTGTCATTTTGAAGTAATGAGAAATGTCATCCTTTAGGGTCTCTGACTTGAGAGTGTATCCAGGAGCTAGTGTGTGCCCTGTAGCAGCCTCTTTTGGACACGTGTGTGCACTCTTGCCCACGTGTGTGTTGAGAAGGATGTGACCTATCTTCCTAGACGCATGGACACTAATCTGTCCTGATGTGGGCTCCTTCCTCTGGGCGTACAGGCTGCACAGGAATCACTATATTTATGATTCAATTAGGGAAATTGAAGTGTCCCAGCCACCTGTCCTCTGCAGATCCACGAGGCTCTCATTACCATTACATCTACAGCAACCAAATTGCCTTGGTAATGAAGCGCCGGGAGATGCCGCAGCTGTGTTCAGCGTGGCTTCAGAAACAGGAAAGTCACTGCAGGAAAAGGAAGCACTTAGCACGTGCTGTGGGCAGCATCACCTGCCCAGCCTCAGGACATCTTCTCTTGGCTTTGAGCCAGGCTTCCAATATGGACTTGACTTCTGGAAAAGTCTTAGTCCGGGGGCACTGTGGATGTCTAATCATTGCCAGGTTGCTCCCTCCGAGTACACTCACTTTAGAAAAAAAAAGCAATGGGGGTAGAACTTATTTGCCTTAAACATTAATGGGTGCACCTATGCTCTTGGTGACCTAAGCGGGGCATCCTTCCTGGGCTTTAGGATGCTCGGTGAGCATGTGACGTCCACTCTGCAGTTGGACCATCTGATGAGTACATGCAGGAAAAAATATGCTGGGCTGGGAGGGATGCTGAGCCCATGCCGTTTGCTGTTAGAGCAAATGACTATGACAAGGAGATGGAAATTCTGTTAGAAAAAGCCACTGGGTGGGAACCCGTGGGCCGTGTGCCCAGGAAGGATCTCTGGTGGGTTCTGCTTCCTCCACTGGGTTGGATTGTATGGGCTTCTCAAGTGTTTTCAGCAGGACCTCTAACCTACTATCTCCTTTCTCTCCTGTGCATCCTGATAGAGGGAACGGCTGAGGAACATCGAGCGCATCTGCTTCCTTCTGCGAAAGGTCAGTGTGGTGCTCCATGTGGGAGGATGGAGGATTACAGAGTGGTGGGTGGGATCCTCAATGAAAGAGGCTGGTGAGACTCAGTGTCTGCCCCCGTGCTGTCTACCCGAGAAGGCCAATGGCAGCCTGGGAGGAGGAGGTGGGAGCTAGCCATCAGTTCTTGGAAACCACCAGAACCAAGAGGAGCTAATTAAAAGGGGTGGCCATCAATCAAAGTGTCAGGAAGACACTGGATATTTGCAAGTGCCCTCTGGTTGGATTTAGAAGGTCTTTATTTTTGAATGATGATGGATGGCATTTACAGCAGCTGTTGCCTCCTAGCCTTTGTTCCAGTCTGGTGCTGGGCTCACGAACACTCCCTCCTGACTTAGGGATGTCTTTAACTGGGATGTTGGGTTGCTTTTGAGGTTTCAGCTTGTCATTCAGCTTTCAGCTTTGCAATTTGATTGACAGGATCATTGGGAGTGTTGGAGGGGTGGAATGGGGAGGTATTATTAAACGGGGAACCACGCCATTCAAAGAGTTGCTCTGAATGGATGGGCAGTAGACCTCAGCTGCCCTAAACTCATTCTGCAAGTGTGCGTGTGTATGCACAGCTCAAGCTGGGTGTTTAGCACACTCCATCTGCAGACCCTGTCATTCTCTAGTTAGGGAAGTGTGTCAGCAAAATTTAGAGAACAGGAACTTGCAGGTGAAATAAGCAGTGTCCATGTCCTTGAGCCAAAGAACCTCCCTGACCTCTGTACTGAGTGGACAACCATAGGCCCTAGGAAACCACCTGTCTACCCAAATGGAGTTTTTTGAGACTTATGTGGATAGAAGAAAAAAACCAAGTGCTAGGCCAACACTGACAGAAGGGAAAATTTTTTTTGCAAGGTATTGAAGGGTTTTTTTTTTTTTTTTTTGGATTTCAGTAATGATACCTTTCATTGGGAGAGAGAACATAATCAAGAAGCCGATTATTTTTCTAGCTAATTACTTGTCCTTTAATGTTTTCTAAGAAGCTCAGCATGTTAGAATTCCATATCTTGTATGTCACAGTGGGAAAGTGTGCTCAGATAAGACATGCATTTGAAAATATTAGTGATCCAAGGAAAAAAGAATGATTAAGAAAATAACATATAATTTGAATCATGAATATGTAAATCACTTTCCTAGATAATGCTGTAGTCAACTTATAACCTGTTCCAGCCATCACTTCCATCGTCTCTAGTTTGCTCTTTAAGACTGACCTGTAAGTGGCATGGACTGGATCAAGATAAAATCAAAGGTTTGTTTCTCAGACTCCCATGCTTCCTTTTGTTTCCTCCCTGTATTTTCTGGCAGAGTGACAATCTGTATCCATGCTAAGTAGCCTTGTTCATACTTCTATATTGCTGGTCTTGGGCTCTGGCCAGACAGCAGACAGTGGCCTGTGGCTGTCTTTGCCAAGGTTCTGTTGTCCACAGCCTTAGAGTCCTGGACTTCTCTAAGGTCAGTGCCAAGGATACAAGAGCAAGCAAATTATGCAAGAATTAGCATTGCCTTTTGCTCGTTTGCATACAGTTTGCATAAGTTTCTAGGCATTTTACTCCAGGAAACATGGTACTCCAAGAACCTTTTCCCATTTTTTTTTTTTTTTTTTTGCCCTTCCTCTCCTATGCTACTACCACTGGTTCTGTGAGATTTAACACAATCGCTGCTCATCATAGTGGAGAATACCAGAGAGAGTAGTTCAGGGTAGACATCAGAGGGCATGAAGCCCTGACTTCAGGAATGCAGGTGATAATCACTCCTTCTAGTGCTTCATGGTTTTCTAACTTGAAGCAGAAACAAGCCACATGCCTACAGCTTTATTCCTTCAAGGAATCTTTCTCCTACTTATTTTCTTGTCAGAAGCATGTCTGTTTTCTTACAGTTCGATTGTTAGTTCTTCACCTCTGTGTCTCTGTGCCCTGGATACCTGAGACCATTTTCACTGACCATTTTCCTTTCTAAATGTAATTTCTTTCTTTCTTTTTTTTAAAAGATAGATAGATAGAGAGAGAGAGAGAGAGAGAGAGAGAGAGAGAGAGAGAATTTTAATGTTTATTTTTTAGTTTTTGGCGGACACAACATCTTTGTATGTGGTGCTGAGGATCGAACCCAGGCCGCACGCATGCCAGGCGAGTGTGCTACCGCTTGAGCCACATCCCCAGCCCCTCTAAATGTAATTTCAACTTGTTGGTGCTACTGATCGTCTGGCCATTGGCATCTTGCTATAGCTCACATGCTCTTTAGCTTAATTTGGTAACTTCTTGTACTGTGTTCTCACAAATGCATTTAGGTACAGGGCCTGTCCTCTGTCTCCTTCCACCAGAATGCCAATTCTGGAAGGTCAGTGATTTTGTTTAGCTCACTGTCACATCTAGTGACATAGAATGTAGAACAGTATGTAGCCTATTGAAGATGCCCAATAAATATTTATTAAGTGAATCAAATCAGTGCTGCTTCAAGCACTTGTGCAATCTAAATAAATCCTTCTTCTTGGGAACACTGGGATAGTCAGTAGTCTTTTCATTTCTTCATTTCTGGGGTGTCCATGACATAGTAAAATTTACGTATTTTACTATGTTTACTAGCTGCATACAGTCTGAATTTTAAAATCAAATTTAACTCAAGATTGTGTTCAGTTTTGACATGGAAGAGCTCCAACCTACAGATCCTCCTGGCCCTTTCCTTTCCTCGATGTGTATGCCCTGAACCCTTTCTTTAGTCTGTGTTTAATCTTCCTAATATCTTCTCTCAGCCTTCAGACCCAAAGGGTGGGGGTAAAGCCTGCAAACTTTGGCTGCTCACACATCCTGTCTGTGCCCTTATTATCTGTGCAATGTATGGTGTGTGCCTCAGTGTGACTCTCAGTGGGGATAGCAATCCCAGTACCCCCTTAAGGAGTTGTTGGGAAAACTAAATAAGATAAAATATATGCACAGCACATAGGTGCTCAATACATACTAAATGTTAATGTTAATGTCCTGATCCTTTATTCCTGCCTGAAACACTTTTTAATATTCCCATGCCCACATTTGTTGCTGAAGGGGGTTGAGATTATCTGTGGCTGGTGGTGTTCCCCGCAGCGCCACTCATTTCCATAGATGAGTGTCATGTGATGTTCCAGCAGCATCCCAAAGGTGGGATGGCCTGGGCCTCCTCCTTCTGTCTCTCTTGTTTTAAATGTCTCCTCCTGTCTCTCCTGAGTTGAGAACCCCAAGCTATGGGCACGAATTGGGGATGGTGGGGAGGTTTCATGGGTCTAGTTAGCATCACCACCTTCTGGGAACTGTACCTTCCAAGAAATTTCTTGGAACTAGTCTCCCAAACACCCCAGAATGTGATGCATCTCAGCAGCTGATTGTTGTTAAACCACCTCCTCAGCTTTCTCTGGAGAAAGGAAGGGATTTTCAAAGTGGATCCATTTTTAGCTCTATAATTATCAGAAAATGTGTTCCTTGGGTAATTGTCTGAACTGCAGGATGCTGGTGTCGACTTGTGCTTATGATTCATTTTTTCTGTAGCAACAGCCACTTGCTTCGTGCAAAGCTGTCCCCACCAGGGCCTGTCGTAAGGTCTGTGGGCTGCTATAAAGTACGGGTTTGGGAGCGGGACGCATCGTGGAAGGTTTGATGGATGTTTTTAGGCACATAAGGGGTTCTTGCGGGGCGAGACTGCCAAGGGGCCTCCTGTTGCATTTGCAAGTTGAGGGAATGGTTCCAGGGAAGGAGCTGAAGTGCAAGTCCAAATGAGGGGCAGGAGAAACTTGCTTTAAGCTGTGATGATCAAACCTTGGCATTGGTTGCCCTGAGGGAAGGGGGGTGGCTAGGAAATGCGCACACTCCTTAGACCAAGTCAGATGAGCTCATGGCTCTGAGATGATTTGAGCTAGACTGAGCATGCCCAAGTGGGGGACAGCCTTATTGTCTAGTTGGGGATGTCCCTTTTTGCTTGACAATTCTGGGGTTCTCTACAACGTGTCCCAATTTCTCCAAGAATGTATCTGGTCTCACTGCAGATTTTTCTGGCATTCATGGGTAGAAGAAGGTCTCGTGGAGGATATTTTTCATTCTCCCATTAAACGTTCTTATGGAGACGTGGAGGGGGAAGAGGAGGAGGAGCCAGTGAGAATCAGGAGTTGAGATCACTGGGAAGGATAGAAGCAGGGGGCAGGTGCTCCAGGTTTGATGCTGGAAAGGACACAGTGGTGATAAGTCCTCAGGTGCTCCCACTAATGGCCACCTATGCCTGTCGCCCTTTTGAGCCATGCCCCTGTGGTAGAAAGGGGTCATATAGTGAAGCTGTGAGGAGCTGCCTGCATCCACTGCAAAAATTCCATAGTGTGGTTCTAAAAGCAGCCGTCAGAGGGGACGACGGGAAAGAGATGTTGACACTTTCACAGTGAAAAGTCAGTTCTGTTCAGTGAGATGATCGCATGGCTAACCCATTGATGTGAGGAGGATAAGAGGCATGGGGAGCTCCCCTGAGCAGATCCAGGGCTCAGAGCCATGCCCACTAGCTCTGGTGAGCCCATGGATCCTTTAGACGTGCGCAAGTATAAGGGACTGGTGTTTTAAGGCACTGGATTTTGTAGTGAGTTATTATATAACATTATTGTGGCAATAGCTATATTAGTCAGCTTTCTGTCACTGGAGAAGACCTGAGGTAGTTAACATCTAAAGAGAAAAGGGTTATTTTGACTCATGGTTCTGGAGTTCAAGATTGAGTGGCTCCATATCTTTGGGCTTCCAGCAAGGGCAGCATGTCCTGGCAGGATCACGTGGAGGGGTGAACCACTCATCTCATGAGCCAGGAAACAAGAGACAGAGAAGAGACAGGGTCCTGAAATCCCCTTCAAGGGCACACCCCCATGACCTGAGGACTTCCCGTTAGGCCCCATCTTCTAAATGTTCCACCACCTCTGAATAGCACCACCCTGGGACCAAACCTTTAACACTTGGGCCTTCGGGGAACTGTCAAGGTCCAAACTA